CGTGGGGGGCAGGCCCAGCCATCAGCACCGGGCCAGCAGCACGACCAGCAGCACGACCACCAGCACCTCCACCAACCACGACCACCAGCACGACCAGCCAGCACCACCAACCACCAGCACGACATCCAGCACAACTAGCAGCACGACCACCAGCACAACCACCAGCACAACCACTACCAACCACCAGCACGACCACCAGCAGAACCACCAGCACGACGACCAGCACAACCACCAGCACGACCACCACCACGACCAGCCACCAGCACGGCCACCAGCACCTCCGCAAGCACGACCACCAGCACAGCCACGAACGACCACCAGCACAACCACCAGCACAACCACCAGCACAATCACCAGCAGGACCACCAGCACGACCACCAGCAGGACCACCAGCAGGACCACCAGCACGACCACCAACACGACCAGCCAGCACCACCACCCACCAGCACGACAACCAGCACAACCAGCAGCACGACCACCAGCACAACCACCAGCACAACCACTACCAGCGACCAGCACGACCACCAGCACATCCACCAGCACGACGACCAGCACAACCACCAGCACGACCACCACCACGACCAGCCACCAGCACGGCCACCAGCACCTCCACAAGCACGACCACCAGCACAACCACCAGCGCGACCACCAGCACAACCACCAGCACAACCACCAGCACAACCACCAGCAGGACCACCAGCATGACCATCAGCAGGACCACCAGCAGAGCGCACGGTCGGAAATAAAGCAGTGCGAGATCACACCGGTAGGTATGATGATAAAGTGGTCGGAGCTCTAGACACCCTGTGCAAGAGAAAAAACGTTTCTTCTTCCAACGGCGCCACTGTTCCGTATGAGTGTACTCCCCCCTTCCACACCGGACCGGCGACAAACCTGGGATACGGCGGGCATCCCCCCGCCACCCCTGTCATAAAATAATGCAAAGTGCACGTAGCGGCAATCTCTGGACGGTGCGCGGCCCCATCGTTAACACTTTGCATTGCTTGTTGACAGGTTGAGCGGGGGTGTCCTCATACAGTCCGCTCTGCGCGGGCCAACACATCCCTGTCAAAGCGTAATGCAAAATACACTGTGCAGCAAATCTGGCCATCCATGTCAGCACACACCGCAAAGTACACCGTGTGGCCCGGCGCCCCGCGATCATATTGCATTGGTTTTTGACAGGGAGGGCCGCGGACGAGCGGGGCCCTCAGGGAGACAGCGAAGGCCCTGCTGCACATGCAGGTCGTGCACGTGGCTGCCGCGCGCCGAGGATGTGGGGTCCCAATGCGGCGAAGCAGAGAGCCAATGACCATCTCAAGAGTCGGGCTGGCCGATGGATCACGCAGCTCGATGGCAGCGAGCACGGCGAGCGCAGGTAGAGGCGATGGTGCGTGCCCCACGTGATGGGGATTGCGCGCTGCAGCTTCCAGGGGGCTGAGGAGTTTCGCTTGGAAGCATGGCGCCGAGGGGGCCCGGCGAGACAGGCGACCCTGCTGCGCCTGGCATCCTTGGCAGAGTGGGCAGACCTCTCGTCCTGGAAGAGCGCGGTTGGGGGAGGCCTTCACACTGACTGCTCTGCGCAGGCTCACGATCCCTGACAGAAACCATGCCAAGTGCACTTTGCGGCAAAATCTGGATCATGCGCGGGCTCCTGGGGAGCATTTTCCATTGGTTTAAGACAGGGACGGCGGAGTGCCCTCAGATTGTCTGCTCTGTGCAGGCCCACCATTCCTGACGATAAAAACACCACACAATATACTTTGCGGCAAAATCTGAACCATGAGCGGGTCCGACGGGACTCATGAACTCCGTGGGATCGGGGCCCCAGGCTCGGATATTGCTGTTGTGTTGGGAGGGCGGGTGGGAGTGAGCGACACGGCTTGTGGCTTGTGGTAGCTTGACCCCTCCCCCTCCCCCCTCCCCCTGGGTCAGGACGAGGCGCCCCGCGACCAACTGGAGCGTCCAAGATAGCCCAGGATGGCTCCAAGAGGGCCTGAGAGAGCCCAAGATGGCCTCCAAGATGGCCCAAGATGCCTTAGTATCGCTTTCAAGATGCCCCAGGAGGGTCACAGACCGCCCCAAAACTGCTCAAAGTGGCCTCGGAACACCCCCATAATAAGAGAGCGCTCCAGAGGCCAAAACCCTTCCCAAACTCGAGCCAAATCAATGTACGTTACCTTCTCGCCGTTCCGCTTCCGATGGCCGTCCGAGGCCCCAAGCTTGCTCCAAGATGCCCCAAGAGGGCGCCAGGAGGCGATTTGAAGTGTTATCCAAGAGCAATGCTAGTCCCACCAGCCCTCTGGGCGTAAGTGGTTTATCAGGTTTCCTCTTCCATCGTCCCTCTTCCCCTTCGCGGAGGGGTTTACCCCTCCCCATACCCCCACTGGACGTGGACAGGAGAGTTCGCGACCCATCGGAGCGTCCAAGATAGCCCGAGATGGCTCTAAGAGGGCCTCAGAAAGCCGAATGTTACCTCCAAGGTGCCTTAAAAGATGGCGTCCGAGATACTCCAAGAGGCCTCAAGACCACTCCAAGACGGCTCCAAGTGGCCACGGAGCCTCCCAAGGAAGCCAGCAAGAAGCCCACAGTTGTTCAACACCTGAGGAACATCAATGTGTGTTGTCTTCTCGCCGTTTCGCTTTCGATGGCCTTCTGAGGCCCAAGCGAGCCCCAGCAGGGGCCAAATTAGGCTCCAAGAGCGCCCAAGAGCGCCCCAAGAGGGTCCAATAGGCGATGTTAGAGCTGTAGAGGGGCGGCCCCAATTGAGTCGTACCTCTCCTCGTATTTGAACGAACTTCTCCAAGATGGCACCAGGAGGTCCCCCAAAGCTCCCAAGAGTGCCCCAAGAAAACCACAATAGATGCGTCCGCGTCCTGACCGTCCGAGACGGCCCCACATCGCAACATCGTTTAGACCGATCCTCAGATCATGGCCTTGGGACCCAACGGCCGACCACCTGAGCGACGGAAAAAAACGGGTCTTACGCGCGATGGGCATTGCGACCTTACGCGGTGGCTCAACCGCGGGCCGCCAGCGCGGCACGCCACATTGGAAACGAGAGTGCTTACGCGCGACCTTATGCGGGAAGCTTGCGCGCAAAAGCCGGCGCAATCGAACCCGTTTTCCTGCGCGGCTCATATGGAGCTCTCAGCTTCTCAGCGGGTTTCGCGGGAGCTATCCCCACCTGGGGGGGGGGCGGGCTGGTAGGGCTGAGAAACCATGGCCCAGTGGGGATGGGGATCGGCTGGACGATGCTGGATGTTGGATCCCCGTGGCCCCCACAGGTGCAACATGCGCACTGCCAGGCACGTCTTGGATACCCCCCCCCTCCGCGCACGCAGCTCGCCGTCCCCCTCAAGACACCTGTCGGGTCTATAGGACATTGTCCGAAGGAACCGACAGCACGGAAGCACGCAGGCACCTCGGCTCTCAAAATCCGAGTCTGGATCAAGGGGCGCTGAGGCATCCGTGAGCAGAGCCCGACGGACGGAGAACTCCGAGCCGGAGCGCCTGCTCGGAGGACTGCCCCCGACCCCCGCGGAAGCCCGCGTGGACCCTTCGGGGCCACACTCGGGTGCCCGGGGGCAGTCGCTGGGGACCTTGGAACCGTCGAAGGCCTGAGTGCGTGGATCTGGCACATGGATGGGGCAGGCTTGGAGCGTTGGGATCGCCTGCAGCTGTTCCTGGTGTGTCTGAAGGCCGTCTTGGAGCTGGGGACGCATGAGGGGCTCTTGGGAGGCTCCCGAAGGGCTTTGGGGGGCGTCTTGGAAAGGGCGTCGCTCTCTTGGGCCAACTTTGCTTTCTCTTGGGCCGTCTTGGGGCTCCCTTGGCCCGTTTCGCAAGCTCACTTGGGCCGTCTTGAGGTCCTCCTTAAGCGGTGGGGGGATGTCTAGGGGCGTTTTTCGGGCGTTGTGGGGCCGTCTTGGGACACCCTGACTTCCTCCCAGATCTGGAAGGCAAAATACATGATAACGCAAACATTGAAATCACGTGTATTGTTGCCCGATTTGGGGAGTCTAGGGTTTTCCTTGGGGCCACTTGGGGCCCCTGATGAGGCATCTAGTGTTTTTGTTGGGGGCCGCCCTGGAGACATCATAGAGAGACTTGGCCGTGCTGAGCCGTCCTGATGTTCTCGGGCTGGCTTCCAGGACCATATTGGAAGACTCTTGAAACCGACATAGCCCCCCAAACCTAGCTGATAACGGGTGCCGGACCCCAGGGGCAAAATGCGCTCTGAGGGGAAGGGGGGGGGGAATTTTGGAAAAAGGGGCCGCCCCTAGGCCTGGGGAACTGGTTGCTGGTTACGTTACATGTACGACACACGATGTCGCAACAGACGGCCTTGAGAAGAGGAATGCGATGATGACACTTGACCCCTCCTCCCCCCGTGAGCGCCTCCCGTCGGGAAGACTGGGAGAAGAGGCGCCACGCCCGAAGCATCTCCAGCGGCTGGAACATACCTCAGCGCTTACGTGCGGGACCTTGGACCTTGGTTGGGCGGAATCCATCGGAGATGTGACTGCAACTGCCTCCTGCCCGCAGCTCCGACAGGGACCAGCCGCCGAGCCTGAACTACGTCGCTGGACCTTCTGACGCCATACAAATGCATCAGCATCTTCATGGGGAATCCCTCCCCTTGGCGAATATTTGGAAATCGTTTTTGACTATTTTCGGCGATAGCCCGGGTCATCCGGTCGGGGGGGAAGGGGGGGAGGGGCCGGCCGATAACCTAACCCGTTCGCTTTAAGCAACCTCACCTAAGTACGCACGCACCGCCACCGCATACCCTCTTCGGACCTGCGCAGCCGACAGGGTCAGGATATCCAAGGCGGGAGGGGAGGGGTCCCCCCGCCTCCCGAGGACGGACGAGGGCGGAGGCGCCCGCTCGGTGGAGGGAGAGGAGGGGGGAGCACGGGGGAGGGGGTGGGCGGGCGGGCCCCATAATCTAGGTGGACCCTTACAACAGACTCTTGTCCCCTCACCTCCCAATGGCAGGCCTCCTCCGCCTTGCGGCAATGCTCCGACGTCACTTCCACGGCCTCCGTGGGCAAAGCGTCGAAACACTTCGCCGGCCAGCGGTTGCGGCCGTTATCGTTCCTGAGGGGCTGCGCGGAGACGGCGCGCGGAACCCGAGGAGGAGAAGGGGGAGGATGCGGAGGAGTTCCTGCTCCTCCTCGCTCCCCCCCTTGGCATGGATAAGGGCGAACTGTGTTGGTGCATCTATCCCGTCCCTCTCTTGCTTCTCCCTCTGTCCTCCTCCTCCTCACCCTCGCTCTCCCCCTCCTTCTCCCTCCTCCTCCTCCTCCTAAACAATTTGGCTCAAGATGTTTGTCAGGAAAGCTGCAAACCTCCAGGAAAAAGGGATACCGCTAGTCCGCGGTCTGCTCCCACAGCTTTCGACCTGTTCGCCCAGCTCTGGATGCGTGCACCAACGTGTGCGGGCGCTTTTTGTGAGCTCCTGTCGGAGCGTGGAATCCCAGCGAGCACTTGACCACAGTGTTCAGGATGGATGGCGGGGGCCGTCTGCGTAGCAAGCACACGCTTTGCGGGGAGTGCAAAAAGAACGAGGTCTACGACTGGAAGCTGCAGAAGCAGAACGGCTTCTGCGGGAATTGCGGCAAAAGACTCCTCACATGCTCGGAGGAAGTGGAGCCGCCGTGACACGTCCGGGGCGAGCGGCGGTGGCCGGGAAATGACGGGATCCCCCATCACCTTCGACTTCGCGTCGCTGGTTCAACACCTGCCCCACCAAGCGGGCTCGGCTCGAGAAGATCAAGGCCGAGCTGGACAAGGTGGCTGTGCCGCCAAAAGGCCACTCTGGTCGTCAAACCCATCTCAACTGCGGAGCGCCTGCAGCGCGCCAACAATACTGTGGCCAAGATGGAGAAGGGCCTCCACCAGGCGTACCGTGACGCGGAGGCCGTGCGCGGTAAACTCGCCCGCATGGATGCGAAGGTGGACAAGTGGGTGCTCGCGCTGGCCGGCGCCCGCCTTGAAGAGAAGAAGGCTGCAGTGGAGGTGGTCGAGTCCTTGGCGCCAGCGGCTGAAGCGCCCACGCCGCCGCCCAAACCGGTGGAGTTCAAGCTCGACCCCACCCTCTTGGACAACCTCGACGACTACGCTGAAGGCTACCGCCAACTGCTCGAGGGCTCCCGTGCAGGTGTGGCGACCCCCCAGCAGTTGGAGTAGGCCGCGCAGGCCCGCGAGCAGCAGCGCGTTGCCCAGAAGCAGGCCCTCGCTGCTGCGCAGGCCCAGGGGCTGGAGCTCTGGCGCGAAAAGGAGATCAAGCGAGTCAAGCTCAAGGCCATGCTAGATGAGATCAAGACGGGGCAGGAGCGCTTCGCCAAGGAGCGGCGCGCTGAGCAACGGCAATGCGTGGGAGGCAAGAGGTCGGGCGAAGCAGGACGTAAGGCTTGAAGTGGCTGGGACGGGCTGGGGGTGCCCGTTCTCCCTCCTGTCATCTCCCTCTGTCGTCGCCCTGTGTTCGGCCCGGGGCCTTAGAGGCACAAGGCACCCGGCGGGCGCCTGGGGGCGGCCCGCTGCCGCAGCGGAGTGAGGACGAGCCACGGAGTACGTCAACTTCGGAGAATGCTGGCCAATCGTGTCGGGCGTGGTCTATGCTTTGCTGGGGGTCATGATCGTCATCGGTACGGGCTATGGGCTGCACTCGATCGCCACCGCGCTGGACTGCCTGGTGGTCAAGCCGCTGAGGCTGGTGCTGGCACCGCTGAGGTGGCGGGTACTGCCCTGTGCCCCAGCCACCCCGTGCAGGAGGAGAGAGCGGTGGAGAAGGCCAAACCCCCGAGCTGCGCAACCCCAGTACGGCTACACCCGTCGACAAACGCCTTCTACGCTCAGCTTCGCGCGCGGGATGAAGGGAAAGGCGCACCACCTGGTCATAAAGGTCGGAGACACCGTGGCACGGCTGGAGCGTCTGACGATCCACCTGTGCCAGGAATCACCATGTACCGCCGGATGGAACTACGCGGTGCATGTCCCATCCCATGGGTACGTGGCGGAGAAGACGGACGCCACCCTGTAGGCTTTGGTGGTGGCACCCCCTCTCCCGTGCTGGGCGGCGCAAGCGGTCGGAGCCGGGGCTTGGGCATGCAACCGTGGGTGTGGTGCGCTCGGGCTCAAGGGTTGCACCAAGCTGCGTGGAGCTTTCCGGCACTGTGAGCGTTCAAGATGCTGTGCTCGGCGTTCCTTGTGCGACCCGCTGGCTGAGTTGTTGTGCGACCCCAACTCGGAGTCGGAGTCGGAGTCCGAACCCGAGGACACCAAGTGCATGGCCCATGAGGTCCTCTACCAAGAGGGTGTCAAGATCTACCAGCTGAGCGAAGAGAAATGCCGGGATAGAGCTCGAGGTGACGCGGCACAACTCTTCCGTGAGGATGGCGAGAAGTCGAACATCCGAGGAGGCGCGTGTACCAGAGGAAACGCGGCGTCAAGAAGTGCGCTCGTGTGAGTTGTATGTGTCCTGGGCGTGTTCTTCTTGATGGTGTCTTGCTTTGCCCGTGCCACGACAACGCTGGACCCTCTGCCCCATCTGATGTACCGCATGTGGTCGTCCAAGGAGTACCTGAGGAACACCAAGGCCCTGCGAGGAGGCCTGAGGAGGCGCCCCCAGCGGGGTCACGCAGCTCGATTCGGTACCCTGCCCGACTGAGGACGACGGGGGACGCACGCGACGCAGACACTCCTCGACACCGCGAGGAGCAACCCAAGGAGTGAGGCTCGAGGACGAGGAGTCGGCGGTGCACCCAGAGGTGCCAGCGTGGAGCCTTGGGGGCGACCTGTCCAGGGCGGAGCTTGGCCTGTTGGCCAGTGGCGCGGCGGCAGACCCAGCATGGAGACGGCGTGGGGCAACCATTTCGCGCTGGACGAGGAGGCGGAGGAGGAGCCCTACCAGCTCGAGTTCGAGAACGTGGTCGACACCAAGTCCGCACCCAGCGAGGAGGGAGGAGGGCGGAGGGCGAGCCAGCCACCATCCCACCCCACCGCCCCGCGGCGGAAGCTGCCTCTGGAGCCTGCTTTTTTCAGCTTGGAAACGAGAAGGGTGAGTTCGTGGATCGGGTCACCCTCCCAGAAGCGAAGATCCAGAGGATGGGCGACCCGTTGCAGGATGAGCTGGCCCCTCAGTGGCGCCGCGTCCGGGCACGCACCGTGCAGCGGCCGAGGGGGTTCGGGGCTCGCTTCGCAGCGACCAGCCCACCCCTGGGTACCGAGATGGGGTTTGTCGACCCCCTGCTCGCCCAGTCTGGTGGGCCGAGCGAGTGGGCCAAGCCGAGTGGCACGGAGCAAGAGCAGGAGGTCGCCCGGCAGGAGTTATGGGACACCCTGGACGTCCTTGGGGTCAAGACGGCCCGGTGGGAGGCGTGGGGAAGCACGTTCCTCTCGTCGTTCGCGAGCAACCAAGGGCAGGTTGGCCGTGCCAGGCGCCATGGAGCGAGTCGTCTGGATCGGGGGGGCCGCGACTTTCTCGGGTCCAAGAGGGCCTCCAGAAGGGCCAAGAAGGCCCCCAATACAGCCCAAAAAGGCCCCGGGTCCCCGAACGATCAATCCAAGACGCCCAAGATGGCTCCAAGACGGCCCAAGAAGCCTTTGAGACAACCAAAGAGACATCTAAGAGTCTTCCCAAGAGGACCCGAGAGGCCAACATCATTTGTTCCATGGGTCTTTACATTTTTTGGGGGTGATCCACTTTTATAAATTCCTACGCTCCAAGACGTCCCAAGAGGCTCCCAAGACCGCCACAAGACGGCCCAGAGGCCCCAAAGCGGGCACCGAGACGGCCCAAGAGGGCTACAAGACAGCATAAGAGGCACCCAAGACGGCCCAAGAGAGCCCCAAGACTGCCCCAAGAGGGGCCCGGGAGGGGGAACACGAATCGAGAATCCGAGGTTTCCGCCCCAAGAGGCGGCCCAGGAGGCCCCAAGAGGCGCCCAGCAGGCCACGAGAGGCCCAAAAGAGGCCCCAAGAGGCCCCAAAACAGCCCCCTAGAGACATAAAAACTGCCGCCAGGAGGCCCCCGAGAAGCCTCGACGAGATCCCAACGATCAACCAAGAGGCCTCAGCGGGATGGGCCGAAGGCCATTCCATCCGCCGCCCCCTGTCGATGCATCGCAGGGGTGCCTGGCGTGCCAGACCCTCTTGGTTTTGGTGTTGGTTCTTTTTCCCAAAGAACTCTCCCTGGGGCTTCGGCCCGTCCCGCCGGCCACCTGAAAGGATGCCGAAAGATTGCCCAGACGTGGTTGCAAAAGGGTTTTTCCGTTCCAGACGGCTCCAAAATGGCCCAAGATGGATCCAAGACGGCCAAGATGGCCTCCAAGACGGCTAAGATGGCCCCAAGATGCACCCAAGACAGCCGAATATGCACCCAAGACGGCTGAATATGGCCGCAAGATGGCCCAAAACGGCCCGAGAGGCTCCCAAGAGGCCTCCACGACGGCCCAAGAGGCCTCCAAGAGGTCCTCCAGGAAGGCCCGAAGAGGCCAAAATTATTGATATTCCTTAGGTTTTTGAAGGATGTTGGTATTTGCACCTTTTCGGCTTTCCGACGGCCCAAGACGGCCTAAGAGGCCCCCAAGGTCGCCCCAAGATTGCCCACGAGGCCTCCAAGAGGGCTCCATGACGGCCCAAGAGGCCTCCAAAACGGCCCCAAGAGGACCCCAAGACGGCCCAAGAGACCTCCAAGACGCCCAAGATGGCCTCCAAGACGGCCCCGAAGCGCCCCAAGAGGACCCCAAGTCGGTTCAGAGAGGCCCCCAAGACGGCCCCCGACGGCGTCAGACGTGCCAGGAACCCACCACAATTGCCGAAATTGGTTCGAAACTGGCCAAAGAGGCCTCCAAGAGGTCATCCAGGAAGGCCCGAAGAGGCCAAAAACGCTGATTGTCCTGAGGTTTTCGACGGAGTCTGACAGTTGCTTCTTTTCGGCCGTACGACGGACCGAGACGGCCCAAGAGCCCCCAGAGATCGCCCAAAGATCGCCCAAGAGGCCCCCAAAATGGCCCCAAAACGGCCTAAGAGGCCCCCAAGACGGCCCCAAGAGGCCCCCAAAACGGCCCAGGAGGCCTTTACGACGCCCAAGGTGG